GGGAGTGTGTCCCTGCTGGTTCTGCTGGACCTCTCTTCGGCCTTCGATACTGTCGACCATGGTATCCTTCTGGGACGCCTCGCAGGAATGGGTCTTGGGGGTACTGCATTGCAGTGGCTCCAGTCATTCCTCGAGGGTCGTTCTCAGAAGGTGTCTTTAGGGGGCACCTGCTCGACTCCTCGGCCATTGTACTGTGGAGTCCCGCAGGGTTCAGTACTGTCCCCTATGTTGTTCAACATATACATGAAGCCGTTGGGAGAGATCATCCGGAGTTTTGGGGTGTGGTGTCATCTGTATGCAGATGATGTCCAACCTCTATCACTCTTTTTCACCTGCTACTAAGGAGGCTGTTCAGGTCCTGAACCGGTGCTTGGCCGCTGTCACGGACTGGATGAGGGACAACAGATTGAAACTAAATCCAGACAAGACAGAGGTACTCCTGGTCAGTCGTAAGACCGAACAAGGTACGGGGTTACAGCCTGTGCTGGATGGGGTCACACTCCCCCTAAAAGCACAGGTACGCAGTCTGGGAGTTCTCCTGGATTCATCGCTGAGTCTGGAACCCCAGGTTTCGGCAGTGGTCAGGGGAGCTTTTGCACAATTAAAACTTGTGCGCCAGCTGCGTCCGTACCTTGGGAAGGCTGACTTGGCCACGGTAGCACATGCTTTGGTTACATCCCGCTTAGATTACTGCAATGCTCTCTACGTGGGGTTGCCTCTGAAGACTGCCCGGAAGCTGCAGCAAGTACAACGCGCGGCAGCCGGATTACTAACGGGTGCTGGGTACAGGGAGCACACCACTCCGCTGTTACTCGAGCTCCACTGGCTGCCGATTAGCTTCCGAGCACAATTCAAAATGCTGGTGTTAACCTATAAAGCCCTAAACGACTCTGGCCCTGTTTACCTCTCCGAACGTATTCTCCCCTACGAGCCATCAAGACCATTAAGATCATCTGGAGGGGCCCTGCTCTCGGTCCCACCGCCTGCACAAGCACGGCTGGTGGGGACGAGGGACATGGCCTTCTCAATGGTGGCCCCTCGACTTTGGAACTCCCTCCCATTAGAGATCAGAACTGCCCCCTCCCTCATGATGTTCAGGAAATTAACAAAGACCTGGTTGTGGAACGTGGCATTTGACAACTGATCTAATTATTTGCCCACATGAAAGGAGGATGATGAATGGGATTGTGCTGGTGTTGGACGATTTGGCTCTTTTAACTGTGATGATAAATGTTTTAATGTGTATGGTGCTGATATTTTAATCGTGTAATGAAGTGGCATTGTGTTGTTATTGTATATTTTTTGTATGTTAACACATGTTGTGAACCGGTCCGAATCCCTCTTTGAAGGTGAGAGGGTCGGTATATAAAATCTCGAAATAAAAATAAAATAAATGACATCTATTGATCAGTACTGGTTGGTGGCTCCAGTGGTGGATAGGTAGCAAATCAATTCTGGGTTTTAACTCACATTTGAAAGGAATTGTCTAAGGTGCTGAACTTGCTTTGGGCAAGTAAGATTGAGCATATTGGCCAACATCTTTAATGAATGGCCTAAAATGTGGAATTGTAGAATTCTACATTTGGAAGAGACCTCGTGGTCCATCTAGTCCAACCCCATTCTGCCAAGAAGCAGGAAAATCACATTCAAAGCACCTCTGACAGATGACCATCCAGCTTCTGTTTAAAACATCCAAAGAAAGACCCTCCACTACTCTCTGGGACAGAGAGTTTCACTGCTGAACAGCTCTCATAGTTAGGAAGTTCTTCCTAATTTCAGGTGGAATCTTTTTTCCTATAGTTTGAAGCCATTGTTTCATTGCATCCTAGACTCCAGGCTAGCTGAAAACAAGCTTGCTCCCTCCTCTCTATGGCTTCCCCTCACATATTTATACATAGCCCTCATCAAGTCTCATCTCAGCCTTCTCTTCTGCAGACTAAACATTCCCAGCTCTTTAAGCTGCTCCTCATAAGGCTTGTTCCCCAGACTCCTGATCATTTTAGTCACCCTCCTCTGGTCACATACCAGCTTGTCAGCATCTCCATTCAATTACAGTGCCCAGAATTGGACACACTGTGATTCCAGATGTGGTCTCACTAAGGCAGAACAGAGGGGTAGCATGACTTCCCTGAATCTAGGCACTAGACTCCTATTTATGCAGTTCAAAATCCCATTGGCATTTTAAACTGCCGTATCACATTGTTGCCTCATGTTTAACTTGTTGTCCACAAGGACTCCAAGGTCTTTTTCATACGTACTGCTGTTGAGCCACACATCCCTCATCCTGTATCTTTGCATTTCATTTTTTCTGCCTAATTGGAGTATCTTACATTTGTGTTGTTGAAGGCTTTTATGACTGGAATCACTGGGTTGCTGTGAGTTTTCCGGGCTGTATGGCCATATTCCAGAGGCATTCTCTCCTGACGTTATTTGCATTTGTTCCTGTTGAACTTCATTTTGTTAGTTTTGGCTATTCCTCTCTCTAATCTGTTAAGATAGTTTTGAATTCTGCTCCTGTCTTCTGGAGTATTGGCAATCTCTCCCAATGTAGTGTTGTCTGCAAACTTGATCATGTCTTATAACCCGTCATCTAATTCATTAATAAAGATGTTGAACAAAACTGGGCCCAGGTCAGAACTCTGCTTCTGGCACTCCACTCGTCACTTCTTTCCAGGATGAAGAGGAAGTATTGGGGAGAATTACCCATTGGGATTGTTCACTTAACCAATTACAGAACCAGCTAACCGTAGTTTTGCCTAGCCCACATGTGACTAGTTTGTTTGCCAGAACGTCATGGGGGACCTTGTTGAAGGCCTTACCGAAATCCAGATACGCTACATCCATGGCATTCCCCGCATCTACCTAGCTTGTAACTCTATTGAAAAAAGATATCAGAATGGATTTATTGCTGTGCTGACTTAGAAGCTACCAACTGCTAAACGGATTCTTTTCTCCTTCTTTATAGGAGTCAGAGAAGCCTCTGCCTTTGTGACATGGGTTCAAAGGAGAATCGGATCAAGCACCGTACTTCTCAATAGCACAGACCAGGCCAAAGCTTTCATAGACCTTGAAGGTTTGGCAGTGATAGGCTTTTTCGAGGTATTTCTTTACCTATTTTAAATGTATGTCTTCTGACAAGTGGTAAATGTCTTCTGAGTACAGAACAAAAACAATAATAAATCCCCATCAGTTGAAACAGTGTAGAAGCCTTGAAATAGTGATAGTAAAGAGCCACCAATGAAAATCAAAACATGAAAGCCAAATAAAAAAATAAAATGCCTGGCAGAAGAAAGGAGGAACTTTGACATCTCCCTTAGGAGAGTAATCCTTTATCACAGGCATGGGCAAACTAGGGCCCTCCTTCCAGACATTTTGGATTTCAATTCCCACAATTCCTAACAGCCTCAGGTCCCTTCCTTTCCTCCGATCAGCCACTTAAGCAGCTGAGGAGGGAAAGGAAAGGCCTGAGGCTGCTAGGAATTGTGGGAATTGAAATCCAAAACATCTGGAAGGAGGGCCCAAGTTTGCCCATGCCTGCTCTACCAGGAGTCTACTGCAGAGAAGGTTTGTATTCTGATAGGCACTCAGCACAACACCATGAAAGATGACCTTACAAATTAGGCCAGAACAAGGTAATAGATATGCTATTATAGACTGCAATTATTTTAGTAAAGGTAAAGGTTTTCCCCTGACATTAAGTCCAGTTGTGTCCAACTCTGGGGGTTGGTGCTCATCTCAATTTCTAAGCCAAAGAGTCGGCATTGTCCGTAGACACCTCCAAGGTCATGTGGTTAGCATGTCTGCACCACCCACATTAATGAAGGGAGAATACATCCCCCATTTGATCAGGAATAGGTCAGGAAAAGAAAGTTATTTTCCAAAGTGATGAAACTGAAGGAAGACAATTCAAACGTCAGTTCAAATGATGTTGCATTCTCTATTTTTCTCCAACTCAGTCTGTTTTCAGGCTAGAGCAAAAGCATAAGTGACATGCTGCTTGATTCTAGAAAAGGGACCTATTCATATTCCTGCCTGGATGTTTGCGAGTATTTCACTGATGATGGCAGAAGATATTTGTGTACTGGGTGGGGACCCCTCTATCATGGCCACATCAGTTTTAGTTTAGAGGTTCCAGTGCTTGGAAAAGTTACTTTTTGGGACTCCCATTAGGCCATTGAGACATGTTGGCTGAGAGGAAAAGTTGGAATCTGCAGACTAAATGTGTGACTTTTACAAGCTCTGGAAAGCACCAGTTCTTGCTTCATTGTCCAGGCAGAACATATATTTTTTCCCCCTTCATTTCTTCCAGTCTGCTATATTACTGAAGTACAATCTTTTTTATTGAACAGAAACTTCAGGATGGAGCTGTGGAAGTTTTCTATGATTCTGCAAGAGAGGTCCCAGAACTCCCTTTTGGGGTAACAGCCAGTAAAGACATTTTCGCTAAGTTTGGTGTCAGAGAAGACATGGTGGTTGTATTTCAAAAGGTATCTAATACATCATGTGCATTAAGAACAAAGGCATTCTCAAATATCTCCATGCACAAGGCCATATTATCAATAGTTCAATTGGAGCAGTTGTTCCTGGTCCTGCACTGGCTGTGTACATGGGGCTGAAAGAAAAAGATGTTGTTTACCTCCACATTTAGAGCTACCCAAGGGCTTGATGCGGTCATGTTATTGCCTATAAGGGAAATGTATTGGCAGGTCTCATGCTACATCCAGGATTGGCAGACGTAGGAAGACCCTTCGATCTGTTCAGTGGGGGATAAACTTAGGAAGAGTTATACTCATGCCTTTTTCAAGAGCAGCTAGGGCTAGATTTGATTTATTTTCTGAAGTCTGATATTTCTTGTGCTCTAGGGGAAACCAATTCATAACGAAGCATCTGAAGAAGGCAAACTGAATAAAGTGGAGCTCACTAGATTAATCAAAACTTTTACTATGGATTTAGTAACAGAATATAATCTTGAGGTAAGTTTGATGTTTGGCATCTAAAACCAATGGTGCTATCAAGAGGGCATATTTTGTGGGTTTTCTGCTGAATGCAGAAAGACTGTATTCTCTGTATGAATACAATTGGACAGCACAGTCTGTATCTGTTCCATATCAATTTCATATGCATTCAGTTATAAATTGATACCTAGTAATTTCTACACCATTCTTTGCATTGTTTGTAATGCAAAGAAAGTGTGTAAATCAGACACACTCTAAAGCAGTGGTTCTCAACCTGTGGATCCTCAGATGTTTTGGCCTTCAACTCCCAGAAATCCTAATAGCTAGTAAACTGACTGGGATTTCTGGGAGTTGTAGGCCAAAACACCTGGGTTGAGAACCACTGGTCTAAAGGGCATTCTAACCTTCATTCTTCCAATATCTGTAACAAACCTGATTTTTGTTTTCTAGACATCTGTGAAGATATTTGATGTACCTGTTGAAAGCCACCTTGTTCTATTCATGCCCAAGAATTCAGACACATTCAAGGAGGTTTATGAAAATTTGTCATCTGTTGCCCCGGAGTTCAGAGGGAAGGTTGGTACACTGTAATGAACCTTCAGGTGGGGTACTTGTTATTCAACAAGATGTGCTAGATGTGAAAGTATTGTTGTTTTTTTTGATGTTCACTAGTGAAGCAGTAGATTCAGAAGTGCAAGTGTTCATCACAGCAATTCCCATTACCAAATGTACAGCCAAATAGGTCCAGACTGATAAATGAGTCCTAACATTTTTCAGCTCCACACAAAGCAGGCTTTGGCTGCTGAAGACTCTGTGTGTCCTCAACAGCCAGCCACTATTCACTGTAGACCTTAAGCAAACATGGATTTCATGTCTGGACATAAATCCTGTGCTCCCATGTTCTGTTTAACACTTTGCCTGATGATGATGATGATGATGATGGGGTACATAGTTTTGTAATTAATCAAAAGACACTGTTAAGGACCTCATCAAATGTAGAAATGCCCTTGTTTCTACACATTTAAAATATGAAGCTCCACAGTGGCGATCACAAAATGCAAACCTACTTCCAAGGGTTGCTCGTTCGACCCTATTTTTTCATTTCATAATAATGTGGAGTTTTTGGAGTCGGGTGTTGTAGTCTGGCAAGCATCTGAGGATGGAGGGAATGATGGGCTCCAAAGTGAGGAGTCTGTGGGCAATTAGAGGGAATTGCAGGCAGGCGAGGCTTATGTTTTGGATTATTCAGCTCATTGCCAGGCAACAGGGGAAGGTGAAAGTTCCAGTTCCCTTGAGAAAAGGCCTTGGGAAGACTGGGGGGTTTCAAGCAAGCATAGATTAGACTTGAGAATGCAGGGTGTGAAAAGCTGGCAAACCAGATTTCCTCAGAGAGTTTGAGATAAGACCCAGAAATCCAGATGTGCTAGGCATGATGTCATGGGTGGCTTGGAGGGCTTAAATTAAGTAGTTTGCTTTCAGGCCTTTCAGAGGAGACAACGTTGCTAATGGAGATTGGACTCCTGTTCATGATTCCCAGTCCTTGGTTCATGTATTGTCAAGATTCCTGTTTCACATTACCATTTATGCCTATGTTCCTTTGGAGAATTTACCTCGGAGAAGTTCCTGTTTTCATGATCATGGATATACCTTTGGATTAATTCTGTGATTTATGGATTCCTTGTCTTTGTGTTTAACCTGGCATTTTTGGATTACTGCTACTGAACTCTAGCTTCTTTTGTGAACTGCATTTTATATTGATTCTGGTGGATTTGTCCCTTTTCCTTTTTATATTCTTTCTTTAATATACATTCTCTTATTGGATCACCGGACTCTGGTGTGATGCTGGGTGAAAGGGTGTTCTAGTGCCAGGGTGCAATATTGGGTATCTATCAGCTCCACTTATCTCTCTGTGCGTGGAAGTGGCAAAACACATCAAATTTCATGTGTGATGGTAACTGTTGGAGTTCTCCAAATAATACCATTTTATGACATGTATTTGTGGGTGGTCTTTACACTTTCCCACAATTTCTCTCTCTTTTTCCAAATAATTTTTATTAAACATTTACTAGGAGAGTGAGGGGCAGGGGGAAAAGGGAAGGAAAAAGGAAAGTTTGGGGATAATACATTTATTATTAGTTAGTTGCATTTTTACAAATGTCTAATATGCCACAAGGAGAAAACAAAGAGGGTGGGGGTTGTTGAGGTATGGGGAGTTTTTTTTACAAAGTTATTATTGTTACAACTAAGTCTTCATCTCTATTTCTTCAACACACATTTCATAAAATATTGACAATTGCAACAATTTAAATTTTAAGTCCATTGGTTGTATCTTCTTACATCTTCTCACATTGTCTTCTGCTTGTCATATATTATTTTCCAGTTCTTCAGTGGAAAAACAAAGAGTTAAGGGAAAATTGCATACCAATGCACACATAAACAAAACAGTAAGCAATCTGAAATATATACATATGAAATAACTAGCGAAGGCTTGAGAAGGTTGCTATTTCCAACAGAAGGTGACCCTAGAATGACCGCCCTGAGTCGCCTGCGGGCTGATATGGGCGGGATATAAGTGATGTAAATAAATAAATAAATAAATAAATAGAATGTAAGAAATTAGAACCTCTTCTGTTTCTTTTGCTCCTCAGATCATGTTCATCTTAGTGGATACTGATGAAACCAGAAATGGCCGTGTGATTGAATATTTCCGTGTCACTGTAGTGGAAGTCCCTGCCGTTCAAATCCTAAACTTGACGAGCGATGCCAGGTACAAGATGCCTGCAGAAGAAGTGACAACAGATCACCTCCGAACCTTCTGCCGGAACTACTTGGAAGGAAAAGCAAAGGTGTGCTTCTTGCTTGGAAGCAAAACACAATGGGTTTTTACTTGTTTATTGTGGCCAATGAATATGTCCGTTGGCCAGTGAAATAAATGTGCTTCACTTGAGCTGTGTTGAGATTATGGCAACTTGAGATCATAAAGTCCTTGGAAATTTCACATTCTTTCAAAAATGTTTTTCTATCTCTCTTGTTTTGTTGAAAGAAGAGAGCATTTATGCTCGGAGAAGAGATGATTTAAGGAGAGATGTGGTAGGTAGAAAGCTTTCAAACGGCTGAACTTCTGTTTGGAAGACACGTAGAGGGGCATACTTGTTATATGTGATACTACAAGAACCAATGACTGGAAACTGCTATTAAATAACTTTCAGATATAACTTGAGGAGCTGCTTCTTTTAATTTTGGGAGTCAAATTTTGAAAGCTTCTGAAACTTAAAGTTTTAGCAGCCGAAGATGGAATAGCATTTTAATGGCCACTGTACATTATGTTGCTATAATGCCATAATTCCACTTTAACTGCAATAGTTCCATCATATGGAATCCTGGGATTTGTTGTTTGGTGAGGTACTGACTAGAGGAATCTGGCAGATAATTATTCCAGCCTGAGCAATGTTTATGTGACCCTGGGTATACATAGGTAAATAAAATAGGTATAAAATCAAATATTTACTGATAATAAATCAGCATTTGAAAACCTTGCTAAACAGGCTGATTTTCCTTTTTATGTAGCATCTTATGCAAAATCCATTGTAAAAACTTGTGTAAATGCCTAAAACAACCACTAGGTGGCATTCAGAAGTCTTTTACTGTTGCCAGATTTTTTTGGAACCCCAACATTGAGCTCAGGGGACCCATAGTTTAAGAAATAGAGAACTAGGGCACCGTTAAAATCCCCTTTAAAATTATTGATGGGATGCTCTCATGATGAATGTGAGGACATTACGAATTATCATTGTTAAGTTAGAGTTCAGGAAGAGAGCGCAGGCCAGATTAAGCTAAAGGAAAACAGTTGGATGGATAGGTGAGGAATTTGTTCATTCCTATTTCAGGGGTGGACAACTTTGGCAGTCTGGGGGAGGGGGGCAATTTTCTGTCCCATCACATTTAAATGAGTGCTAAGATTGGCTGGGGATAGCCTGCTCTCGGTCCCGCTGCTTTCTCAGGTGCGATTGGTGGGGACAAGAGACGGCCTTCTTGGTGGTGGCCCCTCAGCTGTGGAACTCCCTTCCCTCCTTGTGTTCAGAAAAAAACCCCTTAAAACCTGGCTATGCAAGCAGGCATTCGGCAAGTGATAGTATCACTGAAGCAGCTAAATGATAACTATGGGATTGGCACAATGTTTAATATGTTTTATGTTCATGGTATGATGTCTCTTTGTATAGCTTTTAAATGTTTTAATTCATATTTATATGTTATTGATATAGTTATGTTATGTATTGCTTTTATATGTATGTTTGGCATTAAATTTTTGCCATTTTGACATGTTGTACACCACTCTGGGTACCTCCAGGAGTGAGAAGAGTGGTATAGAAATGCAATAAACAAACAAACAAATAAACAAATAAATAAATAAACAAACAGCCATAACTACCTAATAAATAACATAGTACCTTCTCAGAAAAGTCCCGATTGCATCTCCTGCCACAACATATTTCCTTATCCAACAAAGCTCACTTCTCGGAAGGCATGTATATAGGTGAACCGCCACTTCTGGAGATTTCCAGGAAAGATAATTCACTTGTTTTGCTCAAAAAAAAAAAAAGAAAAAGAAAAAGAAAAAGAAAAAAAGAAAAAAAGAAGAAGAGTTGTCCCAAGGGAGAAGGCCACAACTACCTTGAGAAGTGTAAGTGAGCCCAAAGCTTCACTTTGCCTATCCCTCCCCATCCCTGGGATAGATACTGATAAACCTCTAGGTTGAATTGGTTAGACTGCATGCTCCAAGCCAGATAACAGCAATTAAAATGAAAGGAAACTTGGCCAGATAAGACTCAGTAAGCCCTTTCAGCGAAGATTGTCACTTAACCACCACTGCAAGGTATCCTATCTAAGTCCCTGTTGGCCTGTTTTATGGCTTTTCTTTCCCTTATTAGCAACACTGGTCCAGTGAGGAGATCGAGGAAGGCTGGGATAAGAAGCCTGTTAAAGTGCTTGTTGGGAAAAACTTTGACAAAGTTGCCTTTAATACGAAGAACCATGTTTTTGTCATGTTCCGTGAGTATTACTCATCTCCCTGTGGAAGGGGTTCATTTGGACTGCAGTCCATTTGATTTTTGCTACTTGTGTTTGTCACCAGAAAGCGTGTTCAGCAGTATTTCCAAATGTATTTTCTTCTGTTTTCCTCCCATCACAGATGCACCTTGGTCTCACAACTGTCAAAAATTGTTCCCAGTTTGGGAAGAACTCGGCAAGTTGTATGAAAGCCGCAAAAAGGTTGTCATTGCTAAAATAGACTACACAGCAAATGAGGTCCGGTTAATGAATGTAGAAAAGTACCCCTTCTTCAGATTGTTTCCTGCAGGATCCACCACGGAGGTGAGGTGCTTTCAATTTGTAGAATTTGTGGCTATTGAAAGAAAATGGGACAATGCATTTCTCAATTTGTAGTAAAAAATGGAAAAGGTTACCCTTTTTTATTATTATTACAGCTTTCAGAATCTTCTAACCAGAAGATCCAGTTGCTATAATTAACCTATAGTTAACTATTGTTAAAGGGGAACCTTTCCACATTGTGCCAATTTTGCCTGGGAATTTCCTGCATTTTCGGAAGGACACCGTAGTTGTTCAACAACAGTGACAAACACTGCAGCCTGCATGGGGCTTTTCATGTCATTCTCCATACGACCTGCACTGAGTTTAGAATATAACTGTTGCACTCCAGGCCTGGGAACACCTATGACCACAGCACCACACAAGAGTCCAGAATATAAGCAAATAGTTTATTGTAGGAACACATAAAAAGTAAAAAAAATCAGGATTAAAGAAAGTAGATGTATAATCCAAAAAGGTTTGCAATAGGTGATAATCCAATAGGAATCCAAATGTCTCTTATGGATCCAAAAGTAATACAGTCCAGGAATAGCCCAAAGTCACAAGAACACCTTAAGTCCACAATCAAAAGGTATACTTAAAAAAACTTGAACAGGAGCCAAAAACATTAACATGGAAACTCCCAGAATAGTTGAATCCAAAACCAAGGCCTGACTTGAACCAAAACCCAGAGAACTCAAGCCTAGCTTCTCACTTGAATGCTACATTGCCGGAACTAACCCTTACAAAAACAACTTGCTAATTAATAGACACCCATGAAGTGTCTACTTCTTTTCCCATGGATTTTCTTCCCAACTTTCCCACATAAATGCTCAGACCTACAATGCCTATTGTCTGCTCTGATCTGTAAACAAAGGCCTTTGTTGATTTCCATAGCTCTAGGTGTTTTTTCCTGGGAGCCTTCTGAATCCACATAGTTCTTTGCCCAACTCCTTATCTAATGTTGCCATTCCTGGCTCCTCTGACTGACCTTGAAGGCCTGCACTTTCCGAGTCAGATTTCTCACAGAGAGAAGCATCATTCCCTTGACTTGAATATTCATTACTTTAAACCCCAGTCACTTCCACAATCCTCTCTAAATCATCAGTGAACCCATCAGCCTCAAGAGCCTCAGGCTGATCTACAACAATAACTTTTAATTAATTCCTCACTGCAGAAACAGTGCACTGCAGAGGTTTGGAGATAGATCAGGGCTAATTTAAAACCACTTCCTATGATCTGGGGTGATTTTTTAAAAGATAAGTAATTGAAATCTTGGAGGGAACAAATCTCTACTGTGTGATGGCAAATCAAACAGATAATTCCTAAAGAAAGCAGAGAAAAGGAAAAGGTGTGACGGAGGTAGGAAAATAATCTATTTAATTTCCAAATGGGGCATTGCGAAGCTTAAGGGAAAACCAGTTATCCCAAATGCTTTACTTATCCTGTGAGATGAGATCCATAATAACCCCATGAAACTATTTTCATTTTCGCCATGTGAAAGGAACAGTTTTCCTCAGTCCCTTTTGGTAAAAACCTTTCAGTCTTGTATATGGCAGTTAAATCTTGCTACATCCCTGGATACATTTTTTTAACCATTTTTTTCTATCATTCTCTCAAGTCTCCACAAAAGGCAAGAGAGGAAACCACAAATTAAACACACACAGAGAGAAAACAAATGCTTATATTCCACTGTTTGAGATAATCTAATTGAAGGGAGAACATCACCTCTGGATCCAAGTAATTCAATTCAGTGGGACTCTTTGATAATTGAGGCATTACTCAGGTTTCCATTTTTCCTCCTATTACCCATGCATGAATTACGATCAAAGACATTTGTTGTCTCCTTTAATCTGTGAAGCAAGTGCTCTGTCACTAGGTTTGTACATGTCCAGATTCTAATGAACCAAGCGGCTTCTCTGTACATTTAGGTGTCAGTGTTACACTTGGAATAGAAGTATTTCATTCTATTTTGCATTGCACTTGAGACATTTTCAATTTCTAGAAATGTTTACTGAGAACATTGGCAGCTGCCAGCTTCCATTCCTTGGCAAAACGAACCCACTCCAGGCTTTTTAGACCACATCTTAACAGCTGCCCAGGATCTCAATCTTATCACACTGAGAAATATCCCAGTTGTAGGACACTTCAGCCTCTTTTCAAGCATGGAGAGGCACTGAGTTTTGGGGAAATGATGCCATAATGTTTTGGGAAATGGAAATCTACAATACCTTTTTGAAAATGGTACTCCTTGCCATTTGGGAAAATCAGTAATCACCCTGAGAAGAGTTAAAAACTCACACGACTCAAACTTCTTAGTGGTAAACATCCACTAGCATTTGTGCAGAGCAATTAGGTTTCTCAGCTGTTAGACTGAATTTTTTTCCATGTCAGGAGTGACTTGAGAAACTGCAAGTCACTCCTGGTGTGAGAGAATTGGCCATTTGCAAGTACATTGCCCTAGGGATGCCAGGATGTTTTTCATGTTTTACCGTCCTTGTGGGAGGCTTCTCTCATATCCCTGCATAGGGAGCTGGAGCTGACAGAGGGAGCTCATCCGCACTCACCTTGGATTTGAATCTGCGATCTGTCGGTCTTCAGTCCTGCCGGCACAAGGGTTAACCCATTGCTCCACCAGGGACTTAAATGTCTTTGAACTTTGAACTTAAAGGTCTTTCAACTGTTAGGGACAAAGATATGCAAATGCTCTATCTATCTATCTATCTATCTATCTATCTATCTATCTATGAGTTTCAGAAGTGTTCTTTCAGTTGCCCAAGAAAATCTATTCTCCCTTAAAACATCTTGGTTTAAATTATGCTCTTAAGAGACAAAATAAGTAGACTTATTAATTTATTCACAAACTTCATGTATTCAGCATACACGTACTTTGCTTCTCAGTCCAGTTACAGATAGAATTTGAAGTAGTTTCTCTGTGCAGATAACACAGGGCATCTTTCTTATAATCTTAACAGTCCATAGTCTAAAGCATATGTGGTCTGAGAGTCTAATAGGGTCTCTAATGAAGTCTGTTTCTATTGACTTCTGAAAGCATACTGTTTCTGCTGGTGTCTAAACTGTACTGTTTTTACATTGAAAGTCTAATAACTTCTGCCTTTCTAAAATGGAGTCTGAGTCCAGAATAGTCCCAGTTCTGATCACATGGTTTGCAGCCTCTCCCACAACATAGAATTAAGAAAAACAGCAAACCAATATACACATATACAATACAGTAACTAATCTCAATTATATATATATATAACAAACAACTAGTATAGGAGGCTTGAAGAAGGCTGCTATTTCCAACACTGAGGTCATCACATGAGTTTAACTCATGTGCTTTGTGTGTGCTTTGAATGCAATTTTCCTGCTTCTTGGCAGGGGGTTGGTCTGGATGGCCCATGAGGTCTCTTCCAACTCAATGATTCTATGATCATGAGTAGTTATCCCTGGTTGAAGAGGCAGAATTGTCCTGAAAGGAGGGAACTCTGAACACCAGTCAAACATCCTGTTCAGAGCTCCTGTGTCTTATCACAACTGAAAAACAGGTGGGATGGGAACCATCAAAGTTTCCCATCCTATTTCATTGCCCAACTGTCAGCAGTCTCTTATATCCTATGGGATTTGATGCAGAACAATAGGATCCCATGAAAAGCAATGGTTTTAACCTAGAGCACAGTCTCTTATATCCTATGGGGTTTGGGGCAGAACAACTTTATCCCATGGAAAGAAATGGTTTTAACCTGGCAGCAGTTTCCTTTAATGTAAGGGGCTTTGGTCAGGGCAAGGGACCTCTTGGTTTTTGGATATTGTTGTTTCTCCTGATTAAAAACAAAAAAGTAATACTGACTGTGTGATGAATGTCAGATGAATGTATTGCCAGCTCTTTCCATTTCTGAGTGTGATGGGAAGGCAGAATGCAAAACGGGACTGCTGACAATATAAGAGTGGTGATTCTCTACCTGAAAGGGATGCTCACCCATGATTTCTCCTCTCAATGTGATGAGGTCTTTAATCCCACAACTTCGTTCAGTACCTTGGAGAGCTCCTTTCTTGTACAGTATAAGCAGAAACTTTGAGGGCCCTTCCAGACAGGCCCTATATCTCAGGATCTGATCCTGAGATATAGTTTTTCTATTTATCCCAGTTTTTCTATTTATCCCAGATTATCTGGCAGTGTGGACTCACTCATGTAATCCTGTTTAAAGCAGAAAACCTGGGATCAGATCCTGGGATATAGTGTTTGTCTGGAAGGGCCCTTTGTGACTTCACTGCTCCAGTTACTTGGAAGACATCAGTCCTTTCATTTTCTGTGGAACTAAATCTAGGAATGGAACCCCTCTGCTAAAACTGGACCCATTCACAGTTTTTCCTTGAGAAGACTGACAACTCTCATTCTGATGATTCACTAAACATGGAAAATCGTCACTGCAACGAAAGTTGCTTTTTCAAACCATTTAACAAGGCAACTCTCTCCCCTTTCTTTTCCTCCTTTAAGGTTGTCCCATATAAAGGGGAATTCACTCTTGATGCTTTTGCCAAATTCTTAGAAGAACAGATTGAAGCAAGAAAGAAGGTAAGGGATACTTTTGATTTTCAAAGATGTTCCAAGCAAAGTGGATACACTGCATCCAATTTAGGAAGCTATCTGGAGTCGGCCAATTCAATTGGAAGCTGAACAGCTGCGGGAGCTTATGAACAGGGACAGTAAAGTTGCTTGCAGTAGGATGCTAAGTAAGGGCCCTGCATGCAACATGTTTCCCCTCCTGCTCAAAATCTACATTTATGGTTATATCCCAGGCACGGGCAAACTTGGGCCCTCCAGGTGTTTTGGACTTTAACTCCCACCATTGCTATAGCCTCAGCCCCCTTCCTTTCCCCCCTCAGCTGCTTAAGCGGCTCTTCTAATGTCTGTGGTGGAGTATCCATTGGCCTATGGAGCCCGATTTAGGTGGTTCAGTTCACCTTGGAGGAAGTGTGCTTCGCAAATTCTTTTTGCACAATCTGCCAAGGGTTTAATTGTGCTTCTTTTTTTACTTGGGTGATAGTTGGAGTTAACAATTTGTTGGGAGCTAACATCTCCCAACAAAGGATCCCCCAGGCATGGAGCAGCCAGCCTTTGAAGCTGCAAGGCTATTCAATGCTAACTAAGGTGGTCAATTGCAACATTCACACTTGCCTCCAACAGACAAGCGTTCTCTCTCCCACCCTGGATATTCCACAGATATATAAACCTCACTTGTCTAGTTTCCAACAGACCTCACAACCTCTAAGGATGCCTGCCATAGATGTGGGTGAAACGTCAAGAGATAATGCTTCTGGAACATGGCCAGACGCCTGAAAAACTCACAACAACTCAGTGATTCTGGCCAGGAAAGCCTTCGACAATACATTGTTTTGGAAAAGAAAAGGCCCGAGGCTGTTGGGAATGGTGGGAGTTGAAGTCCAAAACATCTGTAGGGCCTAAGTTTGCTCATTCCTGTGATATCCCATGTAGCTAAAAAAGTACATCTCTCTCTTAGAATCACTGCCAACCATATTGTCCTCGGCTGGTTCTATTTTCCTAAATGAATGTGTAAATTAAGAGTGATGATGCGGGTGGTGTGGGTCATATTCCACTCCCTCCCCAATGGGAGGTGACAGCAACCCTGAAAATTCATTCTAGAAGTCACATCCGGTTTCTGTTTCTAGGTTGTGTATATATGTTACATGATTTAGGAGAGGTTCCGGATGGCCTGCAAAAGGCTGCACATGGCCTATAGGGCACCCCTATCCCTTATTTAAATCAACCTCAAATGACTTGATAAGAAATGTGTCTGATAAGCCGTTATTATTGATCTCATGAAAAGAAACCATATATAATGTGGATTCTAAGTGTTGAGGATTTTGAAGCTCCTCTGGAATAATGGATGAGCACAACCAATTCTCACCCTAAAAAGAAGGCGAAAGAGAACTTTTTCTGGTGAAGCAAATATGCATATCTGAATCAAAGTTACTCTTTGGACTGCATATTTTTCTGAATGTCAATCACTTCTCAGTTCCAAAACTGCATTAAAATGAATGCACCATTGCAGAGGCCCTCTTGTCTCTCCATGGAAGCAGGACTCTGTGCATAAAAGCAATGCTCTGTACTGTTGAAGGCTTTCATGGCTGGAATCACTGGCTTGCTGTGTGTTTTCTGGGCTGTAAGGCATTGTTCCAGCAGCATTCTCTCCTGACGTTTCACCTGCATCTGTGGCCAATGCCATCTTCAGAGGTCCTGCTGGCAGTGAAGCAAGTGGAGTGTATAATATACCTGTGGAATGTCCAGGGTGGGAGAAAGAACCCTTGTCTGTTTGAAGCAAGTGTGAATGTTGCAGTTAGCAAGCTTGAATTAGCATTGGAGTAGCCATGAAGTTTGCAATGTCAATCAGTGAGGGTATCTGCATAGAGATAGCCTGACCCCTGTTGCCTGGAGGCACCCTCTGTTTGGGAGGTATTAACTGGCCCTTGATTGTTTGCCATCTGGATCTCCCCTGTTTCTAAGTGTTCTTTATTTACTGTCTTGATTCTGGTGTTTTTTAAATACTGGTAACCAACAGAACCTCTGAACATGCCGGCTGTAGATGCAAGCAAATGTTAGGAGAGAATGCTGCTGGAACATGGCTATGCAGCGTGAAAAAACTCACAGCAACCCAGTGATTCCAGCCATGAAAGCCTTTGACAAAAGAGGGGTTGGCGAGGATGCCATTTTCCACTGTAGATTTATAAGATGAGACCCAACAGTATGCTCTTCTGTTGCATATTCTTTTTTTTTAATGGTCTCTTTTGCAGAATTCCACAAAGGCTAAACAAGAAGACCCAGAGAAAGAGGAGAAAATCACCACACCGAAAGAAGAACTGTAGGTTTCTTTCCAAGCAGGAAGAGTGTTGGTTTCTCAAGGGTGTTAAGCAGTATAAAAGCATTTTAATGGGAAATTTAGGAAGGCATTGACAACAATAAAGAAAGGTCAAACAAACACAGTGGCTCACTTGTGCTTGGCAGAGTAGTGTCTCAACAGCCTGAAGAGGCCTGCCTGTGGCTTCGCTTTAAGAGCATTTCTTTGTTTTCAGCTCATTGTTGACAGAAGCAAAGTCTGGAAGGTGCTTTCCCCCTTCAAAAGAGATTCGGGGATCTGCAAGGTGGTCAGACCAACCTGTTCTGCTGGTAAAAATTAAATGGCAAATCAGTGCACTTAATATCATTTCAGGTATTTGTCACTTTCATAGTTGCATAAGATGTTGAAAAGTCACATAGAAAACTTCTTGTGCCATGATACTTGGCATGTGTTTGTCTATGTACTCCAGAGTTTTCACCTCACCCTTACATTTGGTTTGTTCATTTGTTCAGTTGTTTCTGACACTTTGTGACCTCATGGACCTCATGGACCAGCCCATGCCAGAGCTCCCTGTCGGCCGTCACCCCCCCCCCCCAAACTCCTTCAAGGTCCATCCAGTCACTTCAAGGATGCCATCCATCCATCCATCTTGCCCTTGGTCGGCCCCTCTTCCTTTTTCCTTCCATTTTCCCCAGCATAATTGTCTTCTCTAAGCTTTCCTTTCTTCTCATGATATGGCCAAAGTACTTCATCTTTGCCTTTAATATCCTTCCCTCCAAGGGGCAGTCGGTTCTCGCAGTCCAAGGCACTCTCAGAACTTTCCTCCAACACCACAGTTCTAAAACACCTATCTTCCTTTGCTCAGCCTTCCCTATGGTCCAAGCTCTCATATCCGTAGGTTACTACAGGGAATACCATTGCTTTAACTATGTGGATCTGCGTTGCCAGTGTGATGTCTCTACTCTTCACTATTTTATAGAGATTGGACATTGCTCTCCTCCCAAGAAGTAAGGGTCTCCTGATTTCCTGGTTGCAGTCTGCGTCTGCAGTAATCTTTGCACCTACATTTAGTTAGATGCCCTCAAAGCCTTTTCTACAATCAATCTCATATACATCAGTCTATCAAACCCATCCAGAAAAACAGAAGTGAATAACATGATTTAAAATCCAGAAGAATATAATATCAGTGTGTTTCATCTCTGGACCCTACTCAACTGAACAACTTTTGGCCAGTTTCCAATCTCCTCTTTTTGGGCAAAGTCTAGGAATGTGTGGTTGCCTCACATCTCCAGCTGTTCTTGGAGGAAACTGATTATCTAGATCCGTTGCAGTCCGGCTTTAGACCAGGCCATGGAACTGAAACATCCTTAGTTGCCTTAGGGCATGACCCATGCAGGGAACTTCACAGGGGGAGTGTGTAATCGAGGCTGATTTTCAGAGGGTCTCCACAGTAAGAGAGATCCTGAGGACCGCACCAAAGAGGTTCCCTAAACCTTGGTGAGAACAGGGAAGTCAAATTCCAGTGATAAAAATATTAAAAATAACATAAATCCTAACAAAGCGGAAGAAGATGGCAACCGAGGCTCTTTGTAGCGATTCAGCTGAGATCGGATGCAATTGTGGGAATATTTCCACCACAAGCATGCCAACACAGAGTTTACAAGCATTTTTATAGCCAAAATACAGGAAAACATTTCAAATTTCCCGCCCGCCCCTCCCTGCCCGGCTTCTTGCTGATTGGTTGACAGTTCGAACAGCTGGGAGGAGGCTGGCAGCCCACCTCGCTCTGGGCCAATCAGCAGGCTTCCCCGCCTCTGGGGAGCCAATCCGGACGCTCCTCTCGCTTCCAAGGATGGACGAATCAGGGAAGAGGAGGCGGGACGATTGTGGACAATGGGAAGTGATGGGATTATCACTTTGCCAGCCAGCTGGAACATTGAGGCATTGTTTGGCCGGCAAAACTTGATTACATTGAGAAAGGTTTTCCTGTCCTTGATCGGATAAGGTGTGCCTATCAATAGGTTTGTGGAAGAAGTAAACAGAGCCGGGTGAGAAGGTGCCCCGGGGCTAGCCTCGTCCTTTTGTGACTGAATTAAAATGTCCAAAGAAATTCCTTGTCTATCAGACCAACTCAGAAAATAAACAAAGAATCTCCAGTTGCTATTGTCCATGCAAATGTTTGGTGGCAAGGTTGGTTTCGAGGGAGATAATAGCCCTCCCTCAGGAACTGAATGTTTCCTGGTCACCTTTTTCTGGGGCAGAGGGCAAGGGGGAAAGCAGAAGGGCAAATAATATTTCATAGAAAGTTATATAGGCATTTAAACCATAGGCATTACATAGTACAGAGATCCCATCCCTATCCCATGTCCCAAGTATATGTAATAAAAGAATTGATTTTTATTTGGAGGCTTTGAGTCCAAGGTCCATGAGAAATAATGTTTCCTGAAGTCCCAAAAGGCAGCAGACAGTCCTTGATCTTGGAAAAGGCTGGCAAATAGAGTTCCAGCCATGCTGCAAAGGATTCCACAATCTGGTCCTTGGAAAACTAGAATCTCTTCCCAAGGTCCGGGGGCCCCCTGGCCAGGCTCCTCTCCGAAGTCCCATGGGGGACCACATCAAGTTCCCGGGTCTGGAGCTCAGTAGGGGTGGGCTGCAGCAAGGAGCGTTCGAGTTGTTGGCATGGAGCCAGCGATTTTGGCAATCAGCTGTTTTCTGTCAATTTATATTCTCAAAAATAGAAAGGTTATTTCCCGGGCATTGGGGTCCAAAGTAAGGAAAGTGAGAGAGCAGTTTGGCTTAGAATTTAGTACAGAAAAATATGGCATTAAAATGGAGCCGATCCGCCATTTTATGATTTTCGTGGATTTTCCGGTTCCGGTATGGCGGTCAGCAGCAGCAACGCTGAGCTGCGCTGACATAAAGAACAAATCCCAGGAAATCCTAGGGAATCCCCCATCCCTGACCACCAAACAAAGGAGGGGGTGAGATCAACATCTGCAACGGGCACATTGAGCCCAAGAGGGCTTGAAAGGAGCCGAGAAAAAGCCGAAAAGGGTCCAGGCAGGCAAAGGCAGGCAGGGGAGCGCCGCCATTGGGACGCGGCTGGCCCCCTTCTTCAAGGAACCTCAAGAGACCTACCTGGTGGGCTGGTCGGCCATCGGGTCGGCCGTCCATCTGACTGAGCCGCCTGTACCCGGTGCTGGGCTCTCCCGCTGCCGCCTGGGTTGTCTCCGGCTGCGGCCGGGACGCGGCTGGACGCGCCGCGGCCGCCATCTTGCCATCTTGCTGGCGCTGCTGTCTTGCAGCCGCCGGAGGAACCTGCGGCCGCGAGGGAGAGGCTGCTGGAGGAGGCTGCTGGAAGAGACCGTCGAAGAGAGAGGCAGCCTTTTCTGCGCCGGGAGAGAGAGGCAGCCGGCAGCCGGGAGTCCGGGATTGGCGGCCTTGCGGTTTTGGGGCAGCAGCTGGAGCCCGGGACCCGGAGAGGCAAGTAAAACGCCGAGGCCGCTTCCATCTGCGGCCCGGCGGGAGTGTTCCCCTCAGCAGCCAAGCCCCTCGGCGGTGCTGTTGTTATACAGCCGCTGGAGTCGCCTGGAGGTGGGACTACCGTTTCCACCGCCTCCGTGGGACCGCGCCGTCGCCATTTGCCATCTGCGGCCTTGTCTCGAGAACAGCGGCCGGAGCCCAGAGGCGGAAGGGAGAGAGGAGAGGTAGAGCACCGAGGCCGCTTCCACCTGCGGCCTTGCAGAAGCGTCCCCTCTCAATAGTCAAGCCTCGCATCGGGGCTGCTGCCCGTGCTGCTGCCAGGGTCGCCTGGGAGGTAAGGCGGCCGTTTCCGCCACCGCCACGGGACTGCCCCCCCCGACGCCATTACGGCCTGTCCTTAGGGCGGCTGCCGGAGCGTGGGGAGGAGAGATAGAGCTCCAAGGCCGCCGCCACCTACGACCTCACGGCCCGTCGCTTCGGCTGATTTTTCCGGCCCTCCCTGGTTTTTCCATCTTTCCAGTCCCGGCGTTCCAGCGTTCCATCTCTATCGTCCAGCAGTGCCTGCAACAAGGCTTGTCGCGTCCTGAACGACCTTTACCACCTTCTATCTTTCGGGCCTCTACCATCTAGGCAAGCCGTGTGCAGACCTTGTGTTGACCTTTGCTGTGTTGCTGTGTTGGCCGATATTATGTAGACCTTTTGTGCTGGCCTTTCCTTGTGTTGATAGATATTGTAATAGACCAATTGTGCTGACCACCGCCGTGTTGATCATCTCCGGAAGATTGAAGACCCATCCGCTTTTAGATCAACCGTCTAGAGATTACATTGTGAATCACAATAACCCTACCTAATTGTTATCATTGACATCTCCGTAATAGTGTGTTTACAAAGTATTAACATAGTACGTTCCTTGATTGTCTTTCGCTGCTAAATTAATACAAGAACGCATTTAGCACTTTAAGGCGCCTGCCACTCGCTGCTAAACTATACTAGCACTTACGCCCCCTTCCATACCCTCTATGCCGCACTTTAGTTAGCGTTGAGAACCAGTTTCGGGTATCTGTTGCACTTTAAGATCTTGCACTTTATGAATTTACCCCAACGGCACGCAGTTGTTGTTGCTGACTGAGTCGTGTTATTGACTGTGCTGCACTTTAAGACTCTTGCACTTTATGAACTATCCAACTGGTGTGGCTGGAACGCCTATCACCATCTGAATCTACTGTTATCCATGTGGTTACCCATCCCCCTATTTGTACTGTCCCTGTTATTATTAACCAGTGGAAGGGGCAAGGGAGGAGGTGGGCTGGAACCTGTGAATAAAAATGAGGCGGGGAGGGGGGAGGAGAAGAAGCAAGGGAGTTGGCAGGGGCCAACAAACCAAACATCTAGCGAAACAGATATTAAGACCTTGGTTTGGGACTGCGGCATGGAGGGGGGGAGGTGTTCCACTAGCCGAGGGGCCCCCATAGAGGTCGTGGTGGGGAGGAGGAGATGCGGAAAAAGGAGACCTCGAATTCGGCCTAATTCGGACCACTTATCAACATTAATAATCCCAAATCGGTCTCCTAAGGTAAATTGGTGTAACCAGGTGAGCGGGCCCTCTGGATTGAAGGTGGTGCTGCTGAACGCCAGATCTGTCAACGGAAAAACGACCT